CGTGTCTTTGCAACCTGTGCGTAACTGGTGCACGCAAATACACCACGAAAGTCTCTGTGTCGCTTCCTGAAACTAAACTAAACTCGCTGAATTAAAGCTGGTGTATGTAAATTTCCCCCTTTCATTAACAGCTCATTTTGGTTGTGCCCAAAAGCAAAAGGTTGTGAGCAAATCAAACAGATTTAAGTACATTTGGTATGAATGACAATGTGTCATTATATTTGATAATCTCATTTAACTTCAATTGGAGTGGATTTGAAATAGAATGTTAAAAATGCGATTAATCATGAGTTAACTCACCGTTTCTGTGCGATTAATCAACTAAAAAATTTCAATCGTTTGACAGCCCTAATAAATATATGTGATTATATATGCATTAGTACTATGAGGAATCGTTTCAGCTGTACATGTTATATACTAATGTATATGTCATCTCTACATTGTATACCACTGCTCTTTTGGCTAACCAGGCCTACCCATGATTGTCGGCCTTGCGTTCTCTTTTGGCCCAGCTACAACACAGTGAGGGATTGCTGTAAAATGATGGTGGCAGGGAAAGTAATTACTAAGTTTAGCCCGAGGTGAAAATGCAGGAGATAAGGCAGGTAATGTCACAGCAAACTGCCTCATTCACAGAGAAGGTCAGAGCTGAGAGAGGCTGACAGGAAACAAGCCAACAATGGTCAAAACACCACTGGAGATTTGCCGGACTGGGCCATTTTGGAGGAAAATTTTCCCATATTATCATTACAAAAATACATATTCCAGCTGCACATGTAGCCCAGGAACAGGGGATAATGATGTTTTTTCATAAAGACCTTTCATAAAATGCAAAGTGTTGCTTTTTTCTAAAATTCCTTGATTTAAGCTTTTTCCTCTTAGTGGCCCTCATTTATGAAAGTTGCGCAGTAAAGGGTGTATACTTTGGGTGTATATTCCAAGTATGCAAGAGCCAACGCAGGATTTATGAACTTGCGAGATCCCCATTTTGCCCGAGGCCCCAGCTGAAAGATCTCAGCTCCTGTGGACTCATGTGGATCAGTGAGGGGCTGGTGCTCTGTGTACTGGGTGCAGCTCTGACTTTTCATGCTTGCATTTTCCAATGCAAAATACTTCAAACAACGCTTTCACATCATTTATTGTTTTCAGGTTGCTGTAATGTTTGCTAGCCTATGTTTACAATAACATCTGCAGTGTAATTTACTCCACATAACCAAAACACCATACACTGTACATTTTGGCTGACTTGCCTAGTTCAACCTTGCAGACATTAAACAGACTACTTTTCAAAGACTCCACACATCCATTAAAAACACTTTGTGAACTTAGCGTTGCATCATTCTGTTTTGCCCTTCTGCTATAATTGGAAGTGCCCTTCAGACAAATCGTACTATACTCATTCCATCCACAAGTTTAGTTCTGTATTTATGCTCAATGAAGTGAAAATCTCAATAGACAGTCTACATGACTCAGACAAGTACATTTTAATAGCCATGTGGTACTGGTGCTCCTTTGAGATCTTGTCATTGCCGATCTTTATCTACACGACCCATAAAAATCAATAGAGCAAGCCGACAACATAAGCAGCCCCTAATGTTCTTCCGGTGTACGATAGAACCAAATTACATTTCATCCATGGCTCCTAATCGTGCTGGGGCAGGTGAAGCTACAGAGATGGAAAATTAATGGAACGGCCCGACGTGAGATCCGGGACATCTGCTCGGACCCCGGGTTGTTCATAAAGCTCACGATAATTGCATGGACAGGACATTTGAACGACCGTTTGAGTTTGACCTGAAAGATAAGGTCGTTCTGCCATAAAAGTGTGAAATGAAATTAAGAGCTGTCATAATCGGTGGTACAACGAAGAGTACTTGTTAAATGCCATGGAAAACATTTGCTTTAAAAGGTGAACTTCTTATCACAACTTTTTAATTCATTAAATTGAAATTAATGTTTAATTATTATTTTTTTCTCCCAAAATCCAAAGAGCAGTCGACTCGAAGGGCGTTGTAGAATTTGATCAAGTTCAGAAAATCAAACAACAATACATTTAAGTCCCAGATCCTCACCTGTGCTTAGCCAAAACCCGTGGGAGAATGTATGATTTATTTTTGTCTGATTTTAAGGGACGGGTTAAATTATGCAAATTTTCCCTGTTTGATGCATTTCATAATAAGCTTTCAATATTTTTTTACATATCAGTGCACTTCAAACTTACTCCTTGAAGAGCTCTATTCTATATTAGCTAAAATTTTCAAAAGATGCATTTAAAAAACGCTTGTGTGAAGGACTATTTCAAACTCACTTATGAATAGAGGTCTTGAAAAACCCTTTTGTGAGGAATGTTTCCTTTTGCTCTGCCCGAGCGGGGGACTTTGGTACGATGTTGCGCGCTAATAGAAATGTGCAGCACAATAACAATGGGCTCTGCACTTTCTCACTTCCCCTTTTGCCAAGTCCCGGGTTTATATTTACACCCTGGTCCATTTAAAGCAGTGGGTCCCCGGCTAATATTGCAGACTGATGGAGATTGTGCGGTATTGCTCTGTCAGCTACTTAACCAGAACCCATTTAGTTCTGTGGAAGAGACGAAGCCGGTCAATTTTTTTGAGGTGCAGCCCTAAAAATATATCAGGCACCACCGAAAATTATAGAGAAAAAAAACAATGACAGGGATTTTTAAATATGTGCAGACGTGGATTATGTTGTACTGTTTTATAAAGTATGCAGCGGCTGCAGTTAAATCACTCTCTCCCCCCTGAGTACACACTGTGAAGATAAGAGACACAGGTCGCTAACACAATTGTTACATATGTGTGTGTGTGTGTGAGTGTTTGTAAAAAAATAATAAAAAAAATAAAAGATAATAATTGTAAAAACACAGGTTTTGATTGCAAAAAATCTCAGTAAACTACTTTAACCCCTGTTATTAATTCAACAGTGAATTATTAAATTTCACACACAAAGAACTACAGTATACCATTGTGTCTTTTCTATTAGGAAAGGTGAATACTAAGCATTTGATCAGGTGCGGGTACACATTTTTAAATGAGACTTCATCCCTTCCCCCAAAGGTGTAAACCCCTGATTCTGAAAGTCTAAAAGGCCCCTGCTACATGGTAATGAATTGTTTGTAGATAATGTATATATTTGCAGAGACAGAACTATTTATACACATAATTATTATGATTTTTTGAAGTGACTTTGATTGGCCTTGTCCTCTGTCTTCACATCTGTCTGCTGGTCTCTCCAGAGCTGTAACACGTAAATGGAACCTTAACCTATCTCCATATGTCAGTCTGACACCCCCAGCAGCTTGGAATGAAATCATAATATATCATATACAACCCAATATACAGTATTTAATCTCAACAGCTATTTACCCCTGTCCATGTGCATCCATGCGCTCTCCCGTATATGGCTGTATGTTTTGTGTTGCCGTCATTTATGTATTTTTGAGGGTGTTTTGTGCCCTGTTGCTGCCCAAATGAATTGCTTCTGATGGGGTAAAGTCATTTCCTTAATTTCCATATGAAACATAACATTTTTACAGCCACATCCATCTTTATGCTCTATGAAGTCACTACAATCTGTAGTTATTTCCACATTTATTTATCTACCTTCCGTTGTGTTTGTGGTTAAGAGTGTGATAAAAAGCGATTTCAACGCCTCAGACTGGCAACAGAAATTTCCTTTTTAATACTTCTCCGGCGCTGTGCCTGGGTGTGTATCTGCTGCGGCCCATGCAGGGTTTATTCTAGTGGGCACAGCGCCTTATTGAGGGCAGAGGGTCCAGTGCAGGGAGGCAGGCACTGTTCAAATGGATCATTGTCACGACTGGAGCTGGCATCTGCTTTCTGCACTAAAATCTAAATGATGCAAGAAGTTATAGCAGGACTATCAACCATTGTTTGTCCCATTTACATTGTTGCAAGAATAATCAGATGACAAGATTAAAGCTGGGGGGCCGAACTTGTCATAAAGTCTTGATCTATATCTAAAAACAGTTGGATTTTACCTCAAAATGACAAATAGTGACCCAAGATAAAATAGTATTTATTTTTTTTGTCAAACATAATGTGACTCAGATTATACAGAATAAGAAAAAGAAGGAAGCTGAAAATGCAAACATTCTACTATTGGTACAAGTGTTTCACTAATGTTTCAGATAGTGAATCAATTAAATACAATTTCTAGCTATGAAATTTTATGAAAAGTTGTCCTCAGAAATTAAGTAAAATAAACTAAATAAAAGCTATTACTATTTGAGCCTGACTTCCTCACACTCAAAGTATATGATGTATCCAGTCTTTGTACTGTACTACTGTATGTGACTTATTAGTTGCTAAAAAAGTCAGATGTCTAGACAGTATCTCGTTTTTTCTCCACGGTGATTACTTTTTTTTGTCTGTTCCCAAGTGTTTGTCAGGCATAGCACAAACACAACTATTTCATAATAATTTACAAAGTTGCTGAAAGAGACAGCAGTGACCTTTTAAGCCGGTCCCAATAGCTCTGATTTCAAACCAGCAATAAAATAAATCTGGGATATTTCAGCCACAATAACAATTATTACTGCATGTTTGTATGTGGGGGATTTCTAGATATTATCCAGCATTACTTGTCAAAACATGTCAAGTATAAATGTAGCCAAACATAGTGAGATTTGTATACATTTGCCGACATTTTGAAAGATTTAAGTTTCAAAATGCATTTACAGCTAGCTTAGGAACATAGCAGTTACGTACATTCTATGTTTTGTGTGTTCCTACTACTTTCCCTACATTGGGATGATTAAGGATTTCTTATTATATCTTGATGCAATTATGATTAATTGTGTGAGGATGCAACTGCTGGATTCAATTATGTACAGGTATAACAGATTCAAAGATGTTTTTTCTCCTACATTTGTCCCTGTTGAAATATTTTATAGCCATGCACAAATGTATTCTTAAATTGTATTTTTTACACTAATGTTACCCTCCCTTCTCTTGCAGGTGTCCCTAATAACATTGGTCCAGTTAGTAAGTAAACCTTTCCCATCTCTGAGAATGCATGTGCTTTGCTTTGCCTGCAATGCCTAAAACAACCAACCTCCTCCTCCCATTCCCTCTATCCTTTTACTCTCCCTCCAAAATTGTGCCCATATCTGATCTAGTCTTTCTTGTACAACCACTCAACAACTGTTTTGCAACTTTTCTTAGATTGAGATGAAGAATTTTCAGGGATCAAATGCTGTCTCAGCATATTCCTTTCTCTTATCCTGATCTCATCTCAATAACACAAGGCAAGCCGCCATGTCATTTGTATATTTCCCCCCTCCATGCATTATAAATAAATGGCATCTAGACTTTATTAAGGTGCCAAGACCTCGCCAGCAGCGTAATGTCACGGGAGGTCATTTTTAATATAATCCGCGCGCTCAGGCCTGGGTTGGTATTATCTTCGTCAACCAGTCGCCCCCGAGGAGGAGGAGGCAGCCGAGAGGTGCCATGGCTCCTGTTACGGCTGCCTGGAAGCACGGCGGAGGCAGGAACTAAAGCAGCGTATTGAACAAGTCAGAGTGCATTCACAGGATCCGTGTCTTGGGTCGACTCCGCTTATTGGCTGCTGTCCTCTTCCCATGGCACCACATTGATTAGAGAATTGTCCCCTCGCGCTCCAAGTCTCCAAGTCTGTTTGTGTTTAAAGACTGTCTAGGTTAAAGAGGCTTGTAAAGTTTTGATTCATTCTATGCAATGTCTCCACTCACGAATCCAGTTCAATGAGAAAACAAAGCTGTCTCTAACTATAAAATCCTAGCATAATTAACTACCTGTATGTACAGTAGTAGAATCGATCTGAATCGAGTTCCTCACTCTCAAACCAGTTTGGTGCTAATACTAGTTTTCACTTTTTTTACCCTCTGTTACATCTTTAGATTAGCTTTTTTAGAGCACCCTCACTGTATTTTCTAATTAGATAAAGACAGCATATTCTAGTCCAAAGTGTTTGGACCAAATTATTTTTGCTGGGACAATAGCAACAGCATCATAGTCACTAACAGTTTTGTTCCCAAAACATTCTAATCAGATGGATTTTATTATATTTAAAAATAGATATACAGCTGTTTTTCATTTGATACAGTCTGTCTATCACCTTTGACTGCTAATTTATCACAGCATAATTTGTAAGCATTGTTTATTGTTGCTTACTCTTCCAATCTCTTTTGCTGTTTGCTTTTCCCAGAGCGGCCCTGCCTTCTCTTGTTTTAACATCATTTAAGCGCTTAGCCAGGCGATGGGCAAGCTTCCCAAACCTGTGTGCTTGAAACCAAAGAAACAGATTGTTCCCAAGCGGTTGTCATTAATCAAGATTTAGGTCAGAAATGGACACACAGACACTCTCCTCCCCCCTCAGCCCTTCCTTAAGCTGTCACACATTACTGACATGGTCCCATCACCGCCTTTAAGTAGTGCATGTTTATCATCCACGCTGTTCACCAATTCACAACAAAGACCTCGACACAGCACCACTACAGGCCATGTCTCGCGGCTGTCCACAAAAGAGTCATGCTGGTGGAGGACACACGCATGTGGACTGGCTCTGTCTGTGTTGGGGATATGAGGGATACGTGGGATGGGGAGAAAGTCCAGATACTTCCATAAGGATGCAGTGAGGAGAGGGAAAAACACCGTCAACTACTAATAAGACAGAAGAGTGAAGGGAAGGGAAGAGATGGTGATGTGTTCAAGTGGCCAAAGATCTCAATAAAGGCTGCATAATTAATCACCATCTAAGCAAAATCACCATTTCAGTGGTCGCAAATAGTCTGCAAATATTATGTATTATTTGTTTTACAATAAGACAATACAATATACATGTATAAGCAAATATAATGCTTGAAAATTATCTTGATTTTAGTATATTTTTAAAGATTTGTCAAGTATTATTTATCGTCTTAAAATTGCGCAGCTCCAATCCCAATTGTCTTTTTGTTACAAACTTTTTTGATCCATGACAAAAAATAATAACAAAAACGCAAAAGATTTCATCAATAGAATACAAAACAACAGAACAGAGAGAATAAATCTCCCACTTTTTTATTTTGAAAGTAATAGAATTCTTTCTCTTTTCCCATTGCTACTTGTTTCGTAAGCCTGCAGTAACACCTAACACACACCATTAGAGCAAAAATAATATATAAAAGTACCTTGCCAGTGAGAGTGCATTTCATTATGTCTGTGGCATTGATTAAAAGCTTCAGCACTCATTTAGCTCATCTTACCTGCACTAATCCCAGAAGGAAATCATTATCGAGTCTGAGAAGTGCACAATCCATTCAATCAATTAATGAAAAAAATGAAAATATTAACTTTGCAATTAGATTTCATAGATCCAGATAGCGTGTATCTTTCAGTAGTTTTAGTATCGCATTGAAAAGAGCTATCAGTAAAGTGGTAGAGCAGGTTTTGTTCAATTAAATCTAAGAAAAATGCTAGTATAAGATATGTTACCTTAAAGCTGGGTTACTTAACTTTCAAACCACAACAAACTAAATCCTAAGTCTAAAAACAGTTTGGCTCTATCATTTTTTATCATATGCATTTTTTTGTGTCCTTTGTCACATTTTTTCTTACAGTCATGCGGAAGATTGTGGTCTGATTTGATAACCACATTTAACTTTCTGTTGGGACAAACAACATGAATTGATATTGGAAAAAATAAGTTTGGCGCCCCAGCTTTAATGTATAATGAAAAAACACATCTGCCGTTTTAGACTGTTACATCAATATTTACTTATGTTAAATACATTTTTTAAAACACGCAACAATTTATAAATCTAGACAAAAAATGAAAAAAAGATTGCTCATACTTCCAAGTGTTTTTGGTTGCCAGATCTGCCGCCATATTGCCACGCAATGCTGTCCACGCGGCTCAAAGCCGAGACACCCCTGGACGTTAATGAGTCCAGATTGCATGATTCATGAAGTCAATAGGCAGAGGACAGAAAGATCAAGTGCAAAGATCAGGGAGCAGGACCAGGGAAACCTATCCTTCGCCTCTCCATTACCTGTAGTATTTCCTTGACACGGAAATACCACCGTGTATGTGATTATGAGGTCCTGCTCCGAATGCGCCACATCTGCCATTATGTTGTCATTGTTATTCCTCTGCCACAAATGTCCCGTAATGAGTTATCGACTGCGTAGTTGCTGTGATGCATTAAACATAACACACTCAAGATCCATCTACCTAAAGAAGGGTTTTATTTCCTCATTTTCAACTTTTGTGTTTACCCATCCTTGTCATTGTCATGCACCAATATACAGCAAGAAACAACATACAATTCCACCAATAATGGATCTTATGGATGCATTTTTGCTTGTCCATTCTTCTTGCTGTTATACGGATTGACTACAGTTTGCTGGATGTCCGTGTCAACAGTTGTGTGTCTCCACTGCCACGTAGTTCCCTATTCTCCCCTTTATGCCCTTTATGATAACATAATGTAGAGTATGTATGAATCTTTTGATAAAACATAAGACATGCCCTTTAATAACGCCTGGTTTCTCTCAATTGTACGCAGTTCGGACGAATGCCACCTCGCTAGGTGTCGCTAATCGAAAAGAAGGTAGGCATCTAAGAGTTATAAGTCACTTTTCCGGGTTTCTTGAAATGGAAATGATTTAGTTACGGCGGAGGTCTGTGTGGAGCACAAGATTAAATTAAAATAAAGTAATTTTCTTTTTTTGGAAAGATATTTACGGCTTGGATCGTGAATGATGAGCTGCATACATTTGGCCATTCTAAACATTCACATTATGTTCATTACACATGTTCTGATAGAAAACAAACAATACTTATATTCTTGGGCTTGAGCCTGCTTCATAGAATTATATACTCCCTTATGCACACACCATGTGAATTCTAACACACACATGCAATTTTAATGAGCCTCAGACCATCCACGGGTCAATAGTTCAGCTGTGGGTATGTTTGAAGCAATGCATTTGACCAATAACTTATTCCACCACGTTGAGGTCTGCTTTTACCATGGCCGCTGAATATAGTGGCAGATATAATGGCTGCAGCCTTGGCCTTTTATTCCTATTACCCTACTGTTTGTTTTATGACTGTAAAGAAAAGGAAGGATTGATGCGTTCAGGGCTCCGGAGGCAGTTCTTGTCCCCTTATCCACGCTCGTGTGCACAGATTTATGGTGTGGATGATGTTGGCGAGCTTCCAGTGCAACGATGGGTAGTCTTTTGGGGGAAACAGTGTGTCAGGGGAAGCTACAGTATAGAAGCTGACATATACTTAGCGCACTCATAAAGCAAAGTGCCACAAAGCTGGCAAAATATGTTCTCACACAAGCAGATTCACTTTCCAATACCATTCTATAATTTTTACAATCATTCACCCATGCTTATTATATTCTTTTAACTGACACGGTTTTATACTTTCTAACATTATATGCTTTACTTTTAATTTCATGTCTTTTTTTTGTTTCTTTCTTCTGTTAATTTGTGTAGTAGCTCCTCAAGTTGCATTGACTACTGCCCCTAATGTCCACGTTGCAAACAGCAAGCGAGGTAGGAACATTTTTCCATTGCCCCGTAGATGACTCACAACCCTTTCAAGTTTTTATATATTTCCTGCCCCTATAACCCTGTCGTTTTAACCAGATATCCCAAGCACTCTACGCCCACTTACTTCCAGTTGACTGCCCGACAGATGGCTCAAGGCACATTAAGGATTCACTCATCTATGCAATTGTTTCTAAACACTGTAACAGTCCCCTGGAATCATATCTTCCTTCTGTGTCGTTTGAGGCAATACGACTATTTTTGGGGGCCATGCTTCTGAGACTGAAGAGATTTTATTCCCTCAGCGTATTTGATTTATGACCTTACCCTATTTCTGGAAAGGGGAGATTATTTATCATCGGCGAGTGGGTGAAAGTTATAGTCATCTAATGCGCAAGATCTTGGTGGTTAACTCTGGAAGAAAAGCCATGCGGCAGGTGATGCAGCATGATTTTCACTGGATTCCTTTTATTGGGTTGTTCGCAGTGGACGGACAGGCTCTAGCCTCAATCCACTTTCCTAATAACCACAGTCCCTTGGAAGAAATCCAGCATCCGCCTCCTCTGTCTTGGTTACGTGTGTGTGTGAGCGCTTGGGCAGTTGCCATTGGAGTCATAAGGGTCGCATCTGTCCACGTTGTGACACATGTTGTCAGTGGTCAGTAAAGCGTAGGCCAATGATCCAGAATCACTGGGTGACGAGCTGAGCCGGAGCACCGCAGGCCAGAGCTGCCACAGACTGTCACACACTGTAGACTCCAGCCTGGGCTTTTTCACTCCACATTTTAGTCTGAGAAATTTGATTTAGTGTGACAAGACACTTCCGGAACGAGGTCGAGCACTATAACAGAGTTAGTCATATTATGTTCAAATGTATACAGTGCGGACTGTAACTTCAAAGTAATATGATAGTGCATTGTGATCCAATACTTTACATAAGGGTAAAAAGGGTGTCAAAAAAGGTATTTGAGGAATCTCCGAAGCAGAAGTAAAGGGTAAACAGAAAAAATATACAAACATCAACAAAAGAGATGCTGAAAAAGTTGTGTGCACATAGCTGGAGCCTCTGTAATTCACCCTCATATACTGTAATGCGAAAGACAATGAAGGGATGAAAATAGAAAGGTCACATTTGAAAACAAAAAACCGCTGTGTGTTACATATTTTCAAATGATACAATTTTGTTTACAAGTATTTTTGTCAGCCTTTATAGAGTTACTTTGGGAAGAGTAGCAGCAATCTTATTTGAGTAAAAGTAGACAAATATATTACAAGTCTGCCTTAGCCATAGTAACAATATTTTTCCAAATATTGGTGCTAGCAGTATTGTGAGTCATTTAAGTTTATAGTGTTGTACAGTCAAATGCATTCTGTAGCTACAGAAAATCTTTCCTTTCTTTTTTCTCAGAAAAAAACCCATTCAACTCTGCATCAGTGAACGCTAAGTGTCGCTTTGCATTCCACTATCAAGTATCAGTACAATAGATATTAAACATTTCATTCATTTTTTTAGAGTGCGCTCATATTGCTCAGTGGTGTTGCAGCTCCATGTCATAGTGCTGTGCTTCACCTCGGCTCCTCCTCCGCCTCCTGTGGTTGTGGTTGTGCTTGTAGTGATCTAACCTCTGCGACTTGTACTAACACTGCTTGTGTGTCATGTGTCCCACTCAGGCCGTCCTATTCCAGACTAACCGTACTGTCATTTGTGAACCCATTAACCATGGCATGTCCCGGCCTCGCTCTGACTCTGCTAAACCTCCGCCGAAGTGCTCGCAGTAACCCCCACCACTCTATCGCGTCTCTCCCTTTCTTTATTCCATATCTTTCTCTTCTATCTAAACTTTACCTGCAAGACTGCGAATGCTTCGGCCACTCCAACCGATGCAGCTACATCGAGCTGCTTAACACCGTCATATGCGTCAGCTGTAAGCACAACACTAGGGGGCAGCACTGCCAGCTATGCAAGCTGGGCTTCTTCCGCAATACTACGGCCGAACTGGACGATGAAAATGTGTGCATAGGTCAGTCCCCCAAACCCCGCCCCTACTCACTACCGCTGCTCTGTCAATCATCTGCTCACCAAGACAACAGCTCACCTCGTGCATGTCTTCTTGTGTGGATGTATAGCCTTATGAGTTCTATTATTTCTGTCACATCAGAAACATTACATATATTCATGTTTATTGTTTCAGCTATGCATCAATTAATTTATGAACTTCATTATAATGTACATCAAACTTCATTTGACATAAACTAGGAAACAGGTAGATTAAAAAGTCATTTCAAAATCAAACTTCTTGTCAAAAATAGATATCAGATCAATCTTGATGTAATTGTGATGTTCAACAGAATGTTAAACCTGTGTTTTGTGTCTAGCCCCTATTGAAGAACCGGGACAGTGAAATATAGTATTGAGTATACTATGTGATATATAGTACACATCATATACTTTATCTTACACTGTGCACAGTGTTTTTGTTTTAAGGTCCGCCATCTACTCGTTTCAATTGCTTTGCCTTGAATTCTATTCTTATTACACCTTTAGTGAATCAGAAAGCTCCCTTTGAGATGACTGTCCTTTCTCATGGAACTATTATGTTAAGTGCTCTGTGTCTTCAATGGAGAAAGATGATGTCTGTATTGCTTGTAGAGTAACCCAGCCAATAACAATAATTACTGAATCAACAACGAAAGGTAAAAACAATGTAATTATCTCTGCAAAAGTGAACAGATTTTAGATATGGCTCTAAAACGGTTTTAGCTGTATATAGTTCAATATGACTAAATTCTGCTTAGATTCTTGGACGAATGGCGATAAAATGCATTTCCTATTTTGTATAGGTTTATTATGGTTTATTGCAATCATTTTCTTAATCAATTTACCATATATAGATATTTAATATTTTCAGTAATAATAAGTTGGTGGCAAACCCTCCTCCAGAAAGATACTAATGCACTATAGCCAATCATAGCATGTGCATCTAGAGTATGCACATGCTCTTCTTCTGTATTCTGCTCTCATGTTTCCAGCACATGGGGAAGTTGTCAGTCTGTACAACTCTCCTCGATGTCTTCATACACACACAGACACTTGGCCTTTTACGTGACCCAATCAAATCAGTGAGATTTGATGTCAGCCTTGTTCATAATTCCCTTTCAATCCAAACTATTTCAGACTTCTAAAACGTGAAATTGCCCTCAAATACTTGACTTGGAATAACATTAGCCATCTCACCTTGTTAAATTCCAAACACCATTCATTGTTTTGAACCGCCATAGCAGACGTGGCGTCAAAGGCAGTTATAGAATTTGGCTCTTTGTTGCTGTGTTGCCCATGACCTTTGAAGATATTCATGCCCTTGTGTCGTCTGCGACTCTTTTTGGTTGCATAAAACGTGTGAAAATTGCACATAGTTCCCCGGGCGCTAATGTCAGCTTCCCCGTTAGATTGCGTCGCTCTCGTGTGAAGTGTGTGTGTGTCGCGCAGTGCCAGGTGTGCATAGCCACAGTCCACGGGGGCTGCTCTGACAGGCAACATGAGCTTTGAGGGGCCTCACCACAGTGCATATGTCATATCCATGGAGTGGCCCCGGGAGCAGCAGCTGAAGCCCGTCACAAGGGCTTACGAATCAGCCAGGCGTTACACACACCCCTCCCCAGACACTTCCCCTTCACATACACATATGCGGCCTGGGCCTCGGACGTCACCTTTGTCCTCATGGATGACCCGTGGGTGCTACGGGGCCGGGGCATGTGAAGCGAGTGCAATGTGGCAGTGGAGAGCTGTCAACGGGAGTGTCAGTCGGGATATGGTGAGGAGAAGTGAAGGTCGGAGCTGACAGGTTTAACTAATGAGTGCTTATATGTGTAATGAAGCAGCTGGACACTTGTGTATTGAAGAAGAATATGACATTTTATTTATTTAGCACATTTCATACAGAGAAAATTGCAACTTAGCAAAAAACCTTCATGCATTACAAAAAGCTAGTAAAATGCATCGTGTCAGAGTTATTGAGTCTGAACAAGTGGTTAGTTTACTCATGAATGAGCTCAGTGTAAGACCACTTTAACTATCATTGAGCAGAGCCTTCCATTTTCAAGACCCCTTCTCCCACCCTCACCGCACACGAGGGAAAGCAAGAAGGGTAAGGAAACTGCACACAGGTTTGTAAGGACATCCAGAATGTATGACAGCTCCAGTCTGTGGAGGACTAAACAAGCATCAGGATTCTGGGGTACTTTAAGAAGGAAAATGATAATATTGGAAATCTGATAAGCATATTGGTTATTGGGAAAACTGGTTGTTTCAACTCTAACTGATGCCTACGTGACAAGGAAATGGGTGAGGTGGAAGACAGGGGGTGTATTCAAACAAATATAGGCATAAAGCTATCAATCCTTAATGGTTGGTAACATATGTAATGAAGTCCAGGTGCATGCACTTTTACCCTTAGTCACACCTTTTAATCAGCTTTTTGAGACAGAAGGGCTCTTTCTTACAGGTCTGCTAAAGGTCATACCTTTATTAATTGGATAAAAACTGATTTTGTCATTGTGTGACACACAGATTTTTCTTTGTATCCATTCGGATCTACATCAACTGTGCAAATACAGTATTATTGCTTTACCAGATTTAAATAAAAATAATCAAATATCACCTTTTACATACATACATACAGGCTGGTAGTAGTAGTTTTAATGCAGTTTTTATTTGAAATATAAATATAAAATAATCATAATAATTACATATGACATATAAGTAAAAAAAAAAAAAAAAATCTTTTTTGGCTATAATTAGGGTTGGGCACCGAGAACCGGTTCCTAAAGTGCGGTTCCGGAACCGTTAAGAAGACGTTTGTATTTTGATTCTTTTTTCGATTCCTAAATGCCGGATGCGGCCCGCACAGCGGCGTCGGAAGCGTTTGGAAGGTGGGGGGGGACACGTTTCAAAAATGCTTAGCAGCTGTCCACCCAGCGTAATAAAGCCAGGGCTTTATTACGCTTTGTGAAAAACTCAGTGAATTAAGCTCTTATGAGACGGCGCGCTCGTGTTTGCATCCACATTTAGCTTCAGCCACACACTCCTGCCATCGCAAAGAAACCTCTCAACGCTTGTATCTTCACATTTTCCACAAACGCAGATAAAACTGAGTCAAGGGGTAAAGGAAGCAAACATTTATCCGTCAAATGACTAATTCAGATATTATTTGGTTAAGTTAGAGTCCAGACAGCGAGGTTTAACGGGCGTATTGACCGGTTGAACACTCGTGCTAGCCCGGTGCAGTTTCCCCAAACTCACGCTACATCAGTTTCATCACTCGCTTTACAAACACATCCAAAACTGATGTTCCTTACCTTAAAGTTACTGGTCAGGCCCTTTGTAATGATGAAGAAGGGAAACACGCTGTCCACCAGCCGAGGAGCGCAAAAAGTCCTGCTCCTCCTCCATGTAATAATCCGTAAAAACTCCGAAAACACGATGCACGAGTCCTTGTGCTTTGGTCAAATCTGTCAGTCCGTCCAACGATAATCCTCCAGTATTCTCACTTTAGCCGTTTTTCAGCGGTTTACAGAGACGTGTTTACATTTCAGCCGCTCTGAGATGATGGTGGGCGGTGCCACATAAACACCGCTTGTGTGTGTGTGTGTGTGCGTGTGTGTGTGTGTGTGTGTGTGTGTGTGTGTGTGTGTGTGTGTGTGTGTGTGTGTGTGTGTGTGTGTGTGTGTGTGTGTGTGTGTGTGTGTGTCAGCCGCGGCGCCAGGGATAGGCCTGGGTAGGCCCGTACCAGTTTTTTTCTTGGCCTACTCAAATTTGTTCTTCGCCTCTCAAGTCATTAGCCTTTTTTATTAAAAGTCATAATTTAAATATTGTTATTTTTAAACACAAATTATTGGTAATGCCTAAATGTTGCGTTCTAATGTTTTAAGAAAATGTAACCCCCTGAGCGTCATCACGTTCCTACGTTGCTTCAAATATAGTCCTGTTTATTGGCTGAACAATTTTGTCCAATATCATATCACACAGCGTGAAGCTCGTTCCCGAGAACAACAGCTATTCCTCGTCTTAAAGATTGACAACGCTCTCAAAACATTCACAAAAGAGCAGCCTTTTTCATTTTAGTTTTAAGACAGTTCAGCGTGAACTTTGTGAGGTAGAGTAGCCAGAGGCCCGGGCCCGTAGGTCCCAGAGGAAGGAGGGTCAGGCCTGGCTCGCCTCGCACTGATGAGGTAAACTCTAGGCCTGTGTGAGACACACTGTGGGCCTCATGTATGAAACCTGCGTACGGCCAAATCAGGGTAAATGAGGCGTACGCAAAATATTACACTTTTCCGCATTTATCTTTCTGGACGTGAGCGTACAATACGCACAAAATATACGCCAGGTCTGGAGGTGGTGTAAATCTATACGCTGATCTCAACCTTCGGCACAACACACCAAAACACGCATGAAATTCAAGATATGTACAACAATAAACATATTCCCTCTGGCAAAATTATAAGCTGTGTTTTCATTGAGGAGCATGTTTCAAAATTTGAATTTGCGCATCAGAAAAAGTCTAATGGAAACACGCAAACTTCGAATAAATCACAGCTCATGATGAGGACCCTCTATTAAATCTGACTTGTGTGTGTATTATTTTGATCTGTATGTTTTTAAAATGTGAAGCGCTTTGTGATCCTGGACTGTCAAAGGCTCTATATAAATACACTTTACGCAACAGGGATGTGTGACCCATCTATTGCTGTGGCAGGCTCTGCGCTGCGTAATTACGCACGGCTATTTGTATTCCTCATTCACATCTGGTAAAGCAATGTGTTATTTCATTAGATTTGTGTAACCCTCACACAGACACACACCCCAATAACGCATCGATGGTATTGCTCACTCACAAATGTCTCACTGCCCTGTCCAGAGTGCGCAGCGAGTGCCGTGAGAGGTCGCGCCACATGTGCAGAAGTTTTGGCTCCAGAGTTTCTTTGTGAAATCTGGACCGCAAACGCTCTCTGAAGTGTACAGCGCTTCAATGCGCACTTCTACCCCGCAGCCAGGCTGCGTCCAAGACGCTGCAGACGCTTCATTCAGAGCCACCGCTGCATGATATATATGAATTAATCATTCATTCAATCAATCTATATTTATTCACTTCTACAATTCAAGAAAGATTTTTCTAATGTATCAAAACATTTTGGCGAATTTGTTCAAAACGCAGCTGAATATATAGCGCATATTTATTATTACATAAACATGAACAAACAAATGTCCCTTTTGAGGCTTCCAAACAGTCTTTTAGGCCGGCTTCCTGCTGACCTGTCACGAAGACGGGGCGTGAAACACGCGATTGCTGCATAATTCTAGGCGTGACTGAATACGTTCGTATTCAGCCGATTTATCAACACCCGCAGCTGCGTACGCTCAGAACTGGGCGGATCTCACACGTTCATAAATCCGACGTTGGATTTTGCGTAAATGGAATATACACCCAAAATGTACTTTTTCTACGCAAGTTTCATAAATGAGCTTGTGTGTATGTGCGCGTGTGAGTGCGTGTGCGTGCGTGTGTGCGTTTGAACCATATTCTTTGAAACCCCAATTCCAGCTAGCCCTTGTAGTTTGCAAGCGAATTTGGCCTACTTACTAATCTGCAGGCCTACCCAAAATTGCAAACCTGGCGCCGCTACTGGTGTGTGTGTGTGTGTGTTCGTGTTCCTTGTTTTTTAATTTAATTTGTTTTTATGTAAAGCACTTTCTGTTGCCTTACGGCAGGAAAAGTACTTATGAAATAAAATTTGATAAAAAATTATCTTTTTTTTTTCTCTCCTGCACCTCAAAGAATCGGAATCGAGAATCGTTTAGAACAGGAATCGATAGTGAGAATCGGAACCGGAATCGGAATCGGAAAATTGCAAACGATGCCCAACCCTAGCTATAATACACCTGATGTTTTATTTGCGCATGAGGACTTGTCGTGTGTCCAGTTCAATTTGATTTAGCGAGACCAAATCAGTAGGGCTTAAAACCTGCCTAGTTATAAGTACAATGCCCATTTCAATGTACCATAACTCCAGCCATTGTTAACTTTGTCTGTTTTTTAATTCCATTCCACTTTGCCATCACCTCCTCTTTTCTCACCTCTGTCTTGAGACTCTGTCTAAATTAATACAGTTTTAGTTGCATCATGTATGGATAACTCATTATAGCTAAACAAAGCTACTGATGGTGCTTTGCATAATTGCCCATTGCATGCTGTTTATCAAAAATGTAAATTCTGACTGTATAGAAATATGCTAATTTGAACTTGCATTTATATTCAGTCACTATAATCTCATTCTCGCTCCATAACGGTTGAAATGGTTGCATTATGATATGTAAACAGTGCCAGTAAACATTGTTTAAACATTGTTTAATAACATTGTTTATATTTTATCGACTCGAGGTTTAAATCTTGCAGGGTCATTGGACGTGTGTGTTTTTTGTTTTTTCCAGATTGTAATTGTAATCCCTTTGGCTCAGTCAGTGATCGCTGTAATGGGACAGGATTTTGTATTTGTAAGGAGGGCACAACAGGGCCCAAGTGTCAGGACTGTCTGCCCGGATATATGTGGGACAATGGCTGCAAATGTAAGTAGAACCACCGCCCGCCTTCACCTAAGCAGCTAGTCTTGGCTCTGCTCCCTGCCTCATTTTTATTTTTTGTTAGAACTATTTTCCTTCTGCTATTTTTGTGTTAAAAATGGCCACCTCAAATGCTCAGAAACTGCCTGACATTTTGTTATGTGCTGATATTGTAGAAAAATTGCAGCATTTGTAGGCTGCATACTGTGCAACCAGCCTCACTACTTGTATAACATTTTTACAGCACAAAGTTTGTTCAGCCTTCGAACAGCAAATAGTTTAATCGTTATTCTTGTACGTAATCTCTTATTATAAAGGTAAAGGTGCACTTTATTAATCCCCATAGCACATTTCAACTTGTGCATTTGCCCCATCCTGATGCTGTTGAGGCTTACGTCAGGCATCAACATCTGGAGATGGGTCCCCGGGCGCTGTACGGCGACCCATCTCCAGATGTTGATGCTTGGCTTGGTCTGCATTCCCAGAGCTGTAGGATTTGCCTATTGTGCATGTGTTTAATGGTAGGGGAAACTGGAGCACCCATAGGAATCCTATGCAGACATGGAGAGAACATGCAAAGTCCACTCAGAAAGGCCCCTTTGTGTTTATTTCATAACATGCACAATGCTAATCATTCAAAGAAAGTTAAAACATAAAATAATGTAAATAAATGCAATGATTTTCAGAAATCTCATATTTTCTTGTTCTATAGGCAGATCTTTTTTTCTGATTTTAATCATTATTTTACCTATTTTGTTTTTGTTTTTGTTTTTTTATTGAACTACAACCTGAATTATATGGTGCTGGCATGGCTTACTACGGCTGCTACTGCTGCTACTGCTGTTACACCTAATGCTATTGGTGTAACTATTTGATCTATGAACTGTTCCAATAGTCCCTACTTTTCGAACAGTTCATAGTAGGGACCAACCGATTTATCTATTTGACAATATAAATATGTTACACCTTCTTTTAATTCTGAATATTTGATACTGTAAAAAATCAGCGCAGATTATGCTCGTGCCAAAAGCAACACAATCGAGTCAACATAGTATTAATTTATTTCTATATATAAAACATATATTTTTCACATTTATATGAAAAAAATCTGTCAATCCATTTGTAATCAAATTGAGTTGATAGTAACCAGTTTGTCAGCAACCAGCTAAGTAACTATAGACAGTACCTATAATAACAATTATAATAATTTCCATTGAAAAAGAAAAAAAACATGCTGCGTGTAATTACACTATATCCCTATATATATCCCTATGTTTATATATATACTGTATAATATATATATATATATATATATATACTACCGTTCAAAAGTTTGGGGTCACATTGAAATGTCCTTATTTTTGAAGGAAAAGCACTTTAGATAACTTTAAACTAGTCTTAACTGTAAAGAAATACATTCCATACATTGCTTATGTGGTAAATGACTATTCTAGCTGCAAATGTCTGGTTTTTGGTGCAATGTTGTAATTGCTGCAAATGGAGGATTCTTTGAATAAAGCAAAGTTGGATGTAAAATAAATCTTATTTCAAATACAAATCATTATTTTGAACCTTGTCAATGTCTTGACTCCATTTTCTATTCATTTCACAACGTATGGTGGTGAATAAGTGTGACTTTTCATGGAAAACACTTGGGTGACCCCAAACTTTTGAACGGTAGTGTATATATACACAAATAGTATGTATACAAATAGTATATATTATGTAGTCTGAGAGCTAATAAATGTAACATTGGTTGTATGCTCATAATGTTTGTGATACACTTAAAAAAACTGGCACAGTTTTTCTGCGTGAGGTGCTGACTCAGGACACACATACCCTACAATTATTGGGTTTTGTATTTTACTAGAGCAGGTTCCCATTTCTGGCCCAGGTTTAAACGGGTGCCAAATCAGGGCCTGTTTTTGACACCAGGTTTAAGCATTTTAGAAAAAATGAACTGCTTCTGTAATGGAACCTAACCCCTGTTCCTTGAAAAGAGTTATTACCTGAACCTAAACATGACTGTGTCCGTATGTTTGATTATGGCATATTGTGATGCACGGCTATAGGACGTTCCCCCATGAAAACTGAATGCCATGATTGGATACATGCAGATCTGTAGATCTCGCCAACACAACAGCTGAGCCAATATTGAGCTGTGCCCCGCTGCCCGGGGTCTGTTTGAAAAGCCCCCACGCCAGCCCACCACAATGTCATCCAACTCCAACACTTTCAGAACGGACGCTGCTTACTCTGACTGCAGGCTCGTTTGTTATTTGTTGTCCACGCTTTTATATATTTGGATTTCCCCTGGCTATAGCACAAAGCATGCACTGTGATGTTTTCCTACTTTTAAATGTCACCAATTTTTCATTGTTTGCTCGAATCAAACTTGGGCCACCTGGACAAAATTTTGGATTGTGCTTGTACTGTAGATAGAAATAAGGTTATTGTTGCTAGATAATCTAGAATTATAGATTTTCCACAAATAGTTATATGCATCATAATTAATTTTCAATGAAAAAATCCCTTTACCAGTCATTGCTATGAGTAGAATGATATTGAGTTGTCGTCATACATTTGAATATATTGTTGATTAAAATTAGATTTTTTTCATTTCAATAACTATAACTTCATTTAGATGTTGTTTTAGAATATGCCATATTCTACTCTCATGATCCAAAGATCAGGATTGAGGTTTCATCTGACTGGATGAACTATGTGATCTTGTTTCTGGCTCTTTTACTGCAAATGGCATATTTTACCACTTGTATCTGAATGGCTCTAAGGGGCCTCTCCACAGTGGTGATATGGAGAAGTTGTAAAAACATCATCAGTAAAAAAGAGTGAGTTTCAGCTCTGTGCGGAGGCTCTGAGGGCGTTAGATTTTGTTAGTTTGCAATACAAATTATTAACAGGAAACTACTAAAGGTAGTTATCATATCTGCCCGCTGCTGTTGCCATGGATATCATTCTTAATTTGGATGATATAAAAATTTTGCATAATAAATTTACTGCTTTTAAAACCACTCAACCTGAATCAGCTCACGGTTCCAGAGATAAGACATATAACTTATGTCTCCAATAATGTAGATGTTATTCGAAATTTACAATGATTATATGAAACACATTGTTAATAAAAGTTTAAAATACCTGCTCAAACTTTCCACAAATGCTTGAATATTGGTTTTCTTGTTGTTGTCTCAGTTTTATATTTGATTTCTGCATGAGCATAGATCCGATTTATTTGATGTTCAGCCATTTTGCACACAGATAAGCTCAAGATAAAACACCCCTTCCCCCTTCATGTGACCCAGCTTCACCCAGACTCAGCCTCATGCGGCTATAGAACAATAGAAGTGACATCATGCTCAAACATAGGGAAATTGGCATAACCTTTCAGGGCAGGGGTTTTTTATGACAAAAATGGAAAATAGTTAACCCATGTTAAAGTTAGATGAGCTCGTATACATGTATTAGTAATGTTTATTAGTAACATAGTTGTAAACAGGAAAAAAAACGTTTAGATATTGAAGGGATGTAGACATATTGAGCATATTCTCAGCAACTGTGAAGCACTAATAGTTTTCCAAATCTGTCAATTTAACATCTCATACTTCTTCTGTACCTGAATATGACTCTATAGTGTAGCACTGTTGAGTACTTCTTCCACCACTGGATGTCAAAAGCCGCATTTTTCAATCAAACTCTGAAAATCAACTAAAATATGCAAATGAGTCAATTGAAACCACTTCTATTGCATATTTTCTTTTACACTCCAATGTTAGTTGAAAAAGCCCACTCGCCCTGACTGTGCTGTCTGTCAGGCTGCTGTCTTCATTGCTGGAGTTGTTTGAAAACTCTGTGACCTTGGTCTTCTCTTTCTCCAGTATATTCATGCACACGGGCGGGCGATCCTCTTTGTGCATGCAGACTGAAGAAGGCAATTAAAAACTCAAATCTCTCATCAAACACATGACAGGCACACCTAGCTTTCCAAATATTATCACTCATATCAAAAGCAAACGGCTGGGATCTCGTCATTTAGCGGCTCGTGTTTACATCTGGAGGAGGAGGAGATGGAGCTGGATTTGATCTCGGCTCAGCCTACCTCCGAGCCTCTGTCTGGGCTTTTATCGCAGCTGTGCTTTGCCGCTAATTGTCATTTGCTTCATTATGAGCCTGATTATGAAACTAAGGCTGTGTGAATACATCAGATTCAATATGGCAGTCACTTAAAGACACCATAACAAGCGATAGCTCAATGGTACACATGGAAGGCATATGGGAGACTTTATTTGGTACAGTATTATCATATAAGTCAAATGTAACTCATCCCCTATTTTTTTTTTACAACGACAACATTTTGGAGAGCCAATTATGAGAAAAGACTTTTGTCTCTATGCTAACTTAGCTGAAAAAATAAAACATTACATAAGTTACTGCTATATCTATTCTTTCTACAACCAAATATGAATTTATGAAACTATGACCTCCACAAACAAGCAGCGATATTAACATTTTTCAGTTGAATAAATGTATCATTCAGTTTTTTTTATTTAAAGAAGCTATAATGTGTTTAGTTATTGAACTGAAAATCTAAGATAATTGGATACAATAAAGCAGATCCTTTGAAGCATTTGAATGTTTTAATCTTTTTAGAATAGTATCTTCTAAAAACATGGAAATATGCATAACTCATTTAAAAGCACACTTGATCCTTGCTAAAACTTACACATGGCCTTACATTCCTCAATCATTATAATGGAAAACAACAAGTTTTCATTTCACACAGAGCCTACTCGATTATTGATGAACCTTTCTTCATCAGGATCAACACTATGGAGGATTTAGCTTCTTTCTACATCCAACTAAAGTATGGTGCACTCAGGGCTGGCTGCTCCTTGGACTATTCTTTGAAGCTCGTGAACCTTGTGAACCATCACCTGTCTGATGCAGCAGATGCTGAAGTTCATATCAAAAACCTTTACAGTGGAAATCCA